GAGAAACTTGAAGGAAGTAGCCTCCTTCACCTATCTAGGAAGCACTGTTTCAACTACAGGCGGCACAGACGAGGATGTCAAAGTTAGAATCGGAAAAGCAAGACAGGCGTTCATTAGCCTGAAACCAGTGTGGAGATCTTCTGCACTCAGCATATGGAACAAGATCCGGATTTTCAACACCAACTTCAAGTCAGTGCTTCCATATCATGGTTCAGAGACTTGGAGCGTTACGAAAGGGATTTTCAACAAACTACAGACATTCATCAACAACTGCCTACGCTGGCTCAATACTGAAGATCAGATGGCCAGAGTAATAAGAATAAGCAACAAGGTACTCACGCTGGCTGGCAACGAACCAACCAAGAACCTATCGCCTAACAAATATGCAGAACGAAGTGAAGATGGACTTGGCATACACTGAGAAGGCCGACTGGGGACACCAGGCGTCAGGTCAGGTCGTCTAGTGTGACCCAGTTGGGAAACAACGAGTTTGGTGTCCAAGGTGAGCTTGACAGGGAGGAGATTGTGAGAGGAGGAAATCAGAGCTTCTGGGCTGTCATGAAACCAGGTTCAAAAGATTGCAGAGAAGAGAGTAGAGTGGAGATGTGCTACTGAAGTCCTACGTTCCATTAGGAACCCAAGGGACAAATAATAATCATAAATGGGACTTCTCAGCACTCTGCCCCCATGACTCCATCCCACTAGGGATAGAAGCCACGATTTTCATGTTCCATAGCCAGCACATTACCACTGAGCCAATGGGTCGCAATTCAGTGGTTTATATTTTCAATTTCTGTCAGTTCACCAGATGGCGCAACCACCACCCAGTGTCATCGTCTAGTATTTGTCTTCACGTTCATCAAGTTTGCCCCACTGGTTACGACTTCTCACTGGAACTTCAGTAATCACCTCTCATAGCTAGTCACCAATGAGTACTATTTCAACTGAACTTGGGGGTTGTGAGGCATCGAGCCAGAGACCCGGTGGTGGCTGGTTCGAATTCGGCTGCGGTCCAAATTTTTGCTTCACCTTCAGCCACCATGTAGTATAGTTTTTCAGTCAATTATTGTAGTATGGCTAAATTATATAACTGAAATTCAAATGGAGTGTAACGATGATGATAATGAAGTGAGTATGGGAGCAGAAAACATTTACTTTCATTTAGGTGACTTCAACAGAAATTCTTGCAATTGTATTTGGGTTGAAGTTGAAGACTATAGAAGAGAAAGGAAATAGTCAGACATTTTGTGTATACATAAATTAGATTGGAAAGTTTTAAATATTATGGCTTCCGCTATGCATAACAATCTCAGGCGTACAAACTTAGGATATTCTGACGGCATTTGTATGGAATCGGTCTTGTGCTCAGTAGTCTACTAAGCGGGCGAGTATAGAGCTTTTATGGACACTAGTGTTCCTTTGCCTAACCACCCTGGACAGCTTTCAATAAGGCGATGATGCGATGACCAGGTCGTTCTACCTATGTAACTTCATTCACAGAACAATAATAAAACTTTGAAAGTCTATTTACTTTAATTTCACGACACTACCACAAATAAAATCAACAGCTTAAAGGGAATTAAGGTGGGGAGGTTATAATCTAGTGATAACTAACAAATTGTTCTTGATAATACTCAAATTAGTAGCCTCTTGGTGACGTAAACGTTTCACGGATATTGTTCATCGTCTAGACTGAACTCACAAAGCCGTGTAAGGCCTTATGGAGAGTTGTCATGTGAATTGACGACAAGTACTGGTGTCCACCAAGAACGTCCACTGTCACCGTTCATATTTAACTTTATTATAGACGAACTAATAAACATAACCTTATGTACTACTGACTTAACATGGACTGATCTTCCTCCAGGAGGGCATCTAGTCGCCTTGGAGTTCGGGGACGATACTATCCTACTGGGAGAAGATATGGACAAAGTGCAAGGTCTCCTGAACTCCCTAATCAGAAATTTGAGTATGTTTGGCTTACGTGCGTTTTGCTAGCACCTGCCAAATGTAAGATGATGCTCCAAGACTGGTATGCTCCAACTACTCCCAGTCTACGGAATGAATGAAGTTATGGAATGTCTCAACCACTTGACTTACTTGGGGAGTTGCATCAGTCCGAACGGGCTGGTTGCTGACAAAATGTCAGCTTGGATTCAGACGGCCTGTTTAGCATTTGTCAACTTGCGTCACCTGAGGCACTAAATGGCGAAGATATCTGACTATCTATCAAGAGACGAGTATACTTCACTGCAGCCCATTCGGTCCTGTCTTACGGTTATGAGATATGGTCATTAGAATTAGAAGAAACGAACTGATTATTGGGTTTTGATGTCTTCGTAGCACTGATCACACCTGGTGGATTCACTGCGTGAGTAATCTTGGGGTCAGTTGAAGGGTACTAGGAGGCAAGACTGGCAAGTCACTTTATGAGATCGTCAGCCTTCATCAGCCGAGGTAGCTTGGAAATGTACTGCGTATTCCAAGCCACCACCTATCTCGACGTGTCATATTTGGGGAAGTTAGATTAGGCAGGAAGAGGCCTCAGGGCGATTAGATCAAACCTGACACCAGTCGATGAAGTCTCTTACTGTTGGTGTGAGTAGTGTGGACAGAGGTAGACTGTTTGGTTGGAATCCTCAAGGCGAAAGGAGTCAGTGGTTGAGGCATCTTAGTGACTTGGCTGGAAATTGGTCAATGTGGCAGTTGCATTTACTCTTTGGCATCTTCTATAGCTTGAATGTTTGCACTAACCTCTATCTTCAGACTGTTTATTCTGTCACACTAATTTATCTTCTTTAATACCATGCTTTTTCTATCCAGCTGTTCCTTGTACACTACTGTGTGGCAACTTGAACCGATGCACTTGTGTGAGAGTTTCTTTACTTATTTTACCTATCTGTCTGTCTGTCCGGTGTGTAAAATATTTAACAGATCGTTTGTTTACTAGGATTCTACTTGATAACTTTGGAAAATGGTCGATCAAAAGTAAAGTTTTCTTCGTTGGGTTGTCTTCTGTTGATTTATCATTATTCTCTACAGTTCAAACACTGCTCAGGCAATTTTATATTTATCTGTACCGACTGTGGTAATTTCTAGGGAATAACTATTGTTAGAATGCTGATCCTGTCTACCGTACGCTGAAAACTGCGTTGTTGCCTTCACATTTTCAGGTGATATAATCAGCCTACTCATCATTGATAAGTAGTGTTATGACGTTTGACGTAAAAAGAAGTGACATTTCTAGTGGTTTTCTCTTCGTGAAAGACAAAACAAATTTTTCGATGTAGGTAAAAATTATGACCTATTTGGAGGTAGGAGTACACTAAAAAAAATGAAACTTAATCACTGTGGTAGAATGTAGTTCAACTTCATTTGATTTATTAGATGTATTATACAGTGGAACAGTAGTTTTTTCTGGATTACGTTTTGGACACCGTCTCAAGGTTGTGGAGTTATCTTGATATGACTATAGATAATGAATCGTCTTTGGAACCTAATCCAGTAAATAATACTGTTCAGCTGTGTGGTCCATCCAGCAAATCAATTAAAATGAAAGATGTACACTTCCCAACTTTAATTCAAATTTTTTCCAACCGGTACAAGTAAAGTTTATCCATATGGTCTTATCATAGAATTTTGTATTTTCGGACCATTCAATGTTTACTTTCAAATGGTAATTGAAACTGGCGGCCCGCTTGAATCGTGGGCTACCAAATTTTTACACCGAACTTAATTGTCACATTCTTGGCTTTTAATTTGTTTTAATCATTTAACAATGTCTTCTAAACGTACAATGTACTCTTACACAGTTTTAAAATGTTTTTAGCTAACCATTTATCAAGTAGATAACAAAACGAAGAGAAAGTGTTAAGTTCGACAGAAATAGACTTTTCTTTGTGTGAAAATCCATCATATTTCCATTGCACAGAAGTTCAACTGAAATGGCAGATTCTTGTACTAGTTGAATGAACCGTCACCACCAAACTTATGTTCGATTTTCCGTACATCCTCCATTCTAGATCGGAAGTTGGTCCAATATCAGTCAAGTGTTCCACATTACTGTCTTTAATAGTGTTGTTACTTACATCACTCGAATGCAGTAATCATTTAGTCTGAATATACTGTCCTGGTAGTGAGCTTGCTGAGAATTCCATACTGTATTACACTTATTGCTTTGAATAAAGAACTTAGTATTATTATCATTATAACAATGAAACCTAATTTTCACTTTCACTTTGGCACCTGCAACATAATCTCAGCAAATATCATCTTTCTTAACGATGTTATCTAATCAACTTTTATGCTGTTGCTGTCTACTGAAAATGGTTAGTTCACAATCATTCTACATAATCTCTATATTTCCTTCAACTTTACGGGTTTGAGATGCACACTTGTCGTTTCATATTGATTGGCGACTTGTGTTTTGACGTTTCTGTGTATCGGTTGCGTTTTCTTTCGCAGTCATTTACTGCTTATGGTCAAACATTTCCTGCTTTTAACTTCTGAATCTGTTCTGATTCCGAAAGTATTACTCAAATGGTATTAATATTTTCCACGATGAATTCGTTGAGAGTTGGCATACCAGAGGTCGCCAGACTGGTTGCTCAAGAATTAATATGTCGCATATTCTGACGCTATGGCTTAGGAATCGTCTAAATTATAAATGAAAGAACACATTAAGGAATCCCAAGAGAAAATTATCAGTTTTTGAGTAAACTATTGTCTTACAAGACGATTGCTTAAGTTTTATTTCCTTAGAGATGGTGTTTTAGTAAAGATGGTTTTCATCTTTGCCAATGTACGAAATGAGAGTCGCTTCATCACTAATGAACTCACTTAGGCCAGTGATAGAACAGCCACGAACAAATATCTAGATGAAAAAGCACCAAATAATTGCCATCTTCATCCTGAGATGCAAATTTGTACTTTTGTATTCATTACTATCTCATGAACAGTTTCGTTTTTATCGCTTTTCATCAGTATACTTTTGCTTTCAGTATAATTTTCATTGATGCTATTTGTCAACGAGAAAATGCAGTATGTTCACGTTTGTATAAAGATAAAAAAGGATCTTGTTGGCCATTGAAGTCTCGGTTACTCGATGAATAGACAGGAAAGTATGTAAAGTGCATTGAACATTCACTATTTTGTATTGATAACAGTGAATGCTATTCAAAAAAGTGTTGTAACTGTTTATGTGAATCTAACAAAACAAGAAAAGAATTATGTATTAAGAGCTAATGAATGAATAACTATTTAACAAGTATTTTATTTAATATATAGTCAATGGATCAAGAAGAGATGAGAAGTTTCTCCCTCTTACGCTACCCAGTTTCGTGAGACACTAAAGGAATATGGTAAAAAATATTTGCCCAAAAGGGTTTGAATTGTGATTGATAAACTTTCGCATTTTGTTATGAATATCGTAATGTGATTAGATGTTTAGTCAACCACTCGTAAAAGTTATAATTTTCAAGGACATAAGCAATTCTCAGTCAGTCAAAAGGAAGTTCCAGAAATTCCTGTCTTGTTGGCACGCATCAACCAATTCTATCACCAGTTATTCGACGATATTTAACAAACATTACTGTACCAGAAAAGTTTGCATTAGCTTCTTACAGGATGATAAATCATTTACCTATTGGTAACTAATTTACTATTTAGGTCTTAGATAAACCTCATTTTGACGTTATATCTCACCAAGAAAAGTGACACAACAACTCAGAACCTAACGTGCAGACATACACACACTTCGATAAAAGCTGACGGAGAGGAATTAAATGACAGCAGAAAGATATTGAAATAAATTCAATGGTGAACGATTAGGCAGGGAATAAATAAACGAAGAAAATAACAAGATATTCAGGATTTTTGACGGATAAATAGTGAATATGGGTGTACTACTGTAATCGACTATAAATCAGTCAATCCAAAGTCTTCAGCCATTGGCTGATAACAGCTTGGGACCTACGCTAAGAAGCTGAGATAATTCTACATAGCTATGGCTAATATTCATAACTTTCTTGAATTCTTCACGTACATTAGTTTAATCACTTAAAGATTTACTATCCGGCTCCGTTTCAACGAGCAATGCCATTTGTTGACTCTATATATGTAAAATAAGAAATTTGATTCATAAATGCTTATTCTTATTTCAGCACCACTATCTTTGAGTTAATACTGCCGTCATTAGTACATCAAATCTTCTAATAGTGCTCTTCTAAATTTGTCTACCTCATTAGGTTGTGTCTACTTTTTGAAAACTTGGAATGTAGTAACATTGATTTGTCACTGGAGAACAACCAATTTCCTGTTGTCTAGTCCTGGGTGATGATCAAATTATATCCATCATTTTTTCACAGTGGCTATCAAGCTAACCCGAATACCTTAGTGGTACCATCACTGACTCCAGCACTGGGTGACGCAAAATTGAATCTCAAAACCGACATCAGTCACCTCGAGGTTGCTGACGAGTGTCAGCAAGCACGACACCCAGGTTCAGAGCATCCTACCGATTACCTTCAGCCAACTAATCTTTCAGTATTTCAATGGTTACTTTTCACAACCATATTACATGAGAGAGACGACAGTAATATTATATGAGTCTTTCTAAGCTACCTGGATAATGAACAACAGCCCTTATCTGCATCAACTGTACCCCAACAGTTAGTTACTCAAGACTACTGGATTAATATAACCCAAAATTTAGACTGTACCAGAGATCAGATCAGATTATATTCTAAATATTATTTTCACTTCGAAGTACTGAATGAGTTCTATTTATTCTCAAAATAAGGAAATACTTAAGTTAGACTGTTTTATTCCTACTAAATTGTGCTCAACTGCAAGCAATAGATTGTTGGAATTAGAAAAGACAGGAAATCATAATGACTTGAAGATGTATATGAACGGCTAGTAAAGCTTGTATCTTATCAACACAACACTTGTACTGGATAGGCGTAATAAACGTTAATTGATCTCATTTCCTCGCAGTCTTATATGGTTGTGGCGTACAAAAATAGTTTTAATTCTCAGGCAAGTTTAAAAGTGTTTCCAATAAAAAGTGAAATACAATGTTTATTAGAACAATTGATTATGGCGAACTGACAAAATTCAACTTCTGATGAGTCAGGCTTGTACTTACTGGTGTTCATCAGAAGGTTTATTTGAAAATTTATTAATTCACATTTTCTAAGAAACCAGAATTCATTATTTGAAAACTGATAAAACAACGACATAACAAAAAAGAAAATTTTCTTCTCGGTGATTTCATTCACTAAGGCCGTAAAATCGTATTTAGATTCATTGGACTGGATAGTTTATCAACTCCCAAAGTTACGTTTCTAACATTGGCAAACAGAACCTTGCACTTGCCGTATGTTCAAGGATTTGGAAAATCTGCTCTAAAGGTACGCTAGATAGCTAAATTATGATTTCTGCCTAATAGCCTAATAGAAAACGGTTATCCACCTAGTTTCGTAGACTTTAACATGAGAGAAAAGTCACAATTACAAAAGGTAGGAAATGCCTCAAAGAAAACTCTTGACATGAATCTGGAAATCAAAGGTGACTTTAATGCTGAAATACCTAGAAATCCCCTTCCAAGATCTTTTTGGGCAGGTATTTCATGCAGCTAGTCTGAGAATCATATTTTCTAGCAGAAAAACAATTCGTCAGTGCACTTGGGACAACATCTCTTGTCGCAACCTCAATTTACATCTATCAGTTTACTTGTACATTAGGCATAAAGAGTATTAAGTCTGTAAGCAGATTGTGTAACATTTTCCAGCTTAATTATCCAGAGGAGACGAAAAAAAATATCAACGCTTCGATTCTTGAACTTCGTGTTATCTTCGGATATGTGGCTCCGTCTATTAGTTCCTTCTAGATATATTACAAAATGCCTCCCCACAATTATAAAGGCATTCGATTGCATCATTTAGGTATAGCTGGATATTTAGCAGTTCACAACCTGAAACCTAATCTCTGTGTTCAAAAACATTGTGTGCATTCAGAAGGCTTACGATGGCCAAGGTAGTTAGTGATTTTATTGTCTTTAAAAACTTATTATACTCTTCAACAATAAAGTAATCACACATGCCTGTTTATTAACAACTGAATAGAGAAACTTACAACTTTTTGTTCAGTCTGAAACTACTTCGATCAATCCTATAAGAGATTATTTGTAGACGTCATAACATGTAGTAACATTTTAAAATGTGACATTTGATGATTTCAACTCAATTACTTGAATTTCTCAAAGTTGTAAATGCACCATACTGATAGACGCAGCAGAGATAACCAGGTAAACTACTTCGCCGTAAATGTTTAAATGCATGAATTAGCCGATTGAAAGACGGCTGAAAACTTCATTGTAGTGACGGATAGTTGCTAGCAGTGGGATCCAGGGTGAGCGTTTCGTCCTATTCGGGACTCATCAGCTGGATGAACCTGCCTCCCAGTGAGTGATGTTGTTCCCACTGGGATACGAACCCGAAATCGATCACTTCAAATGCCACAGAGTTTTCCACTACACCATCGATGCGCGATAGCCACTCCTTATGCAACGGGCATAGTTTTAATATAATTGCTTGTATTATACCGTCTTTGGTTCGAAACGATCGGTGCCGGGTTCGAATCCCAATGGGAACAACATCACTCACTGGGAGGCAGGCACATCCAGCTGACGAGTCCCGAATAGGAAGAAATGTACGTCCTGGATTCCACTGCTAGCCACTATCCATCTTTACTATGATTAAACACAGGTAATATCGAGGCATCCACACAGGACCCCATATACCAATAGCGACCGATCAACGACGGTAAAATACAAGCAATTCTATGAAAACTTCATTGTTTGAAAGTAAAATTTTCAAGCGAACTGACTAGAGCTGATGTTGTATTGATGTCAGTGACCAAAAGATGAATCCACTAGGTGGGTTTCGTCCTATTTGGGACTCATCAAGTGTAAGTATCTGCATCCCAGTGAGTAATGTTGATCCATCTAAGGCGCGAACTCAGTACCCTTCGCTTCAAACGCCACAGCATTATCCAATAAGCTAATGGGGCACGATAGCCACCTCTTGTGCAACGGGTATCAATTGTTGTTATGATGCTTTTAATTTCCCGTCGCTATACAGGGCCGAATTCCTCGACCACTTTTAACAGTTGGGCTCCAAAGTGGATGCATCTATACTACTGATTACTGGATAACGCTCTGGCTTTTGAAATGAGGGGTTCTGAGTATAAGCTTCAGCGGGAACAATATCACTCACTGGGGTGCAGGTATATTCAGCTGATGAATCCTGAAAAGGACGAGACGAGCATTCTGAGTCCCTCTGCTAGTCACCGAGATCAATATAACATCACAAATAATCAGCAGTAACAAGGTATCCCCCATGATATTCTTGATTGTGGTGGACTGGATCATGCAGCAAACAGTAGGCAGCGAGAAGAGGGGGATACACTGGACGACGGAAAAGAACCTAGAAGACTTGGATTTCGCCAATGACTTATGCCTAATGTCACATAAACTTGAAGATCTACAGGCAAAAACTAACAAGTTGATAGAAGAGGCAGCGAAAACGGGACTTCAGGTGAATATAGAGAAGACAGAAGTGATGAAGATACCGCACCACCACCATCAACAACAACAACAACAAACTTCAATCACTGTCAACGGGAGAAACTTAAAGGAAGTAACCTCCTTCACTTATCTAGGAAGCACTGTTTCAACTACAGGCGGGACGGACGAGGACGTCAAAGTCAGAATCGGAAAAGCAAGACAGGCTTTTCTTCATTAGCCTGAAACCAGTGTGGAGATCTTCTGCACTCAGCATGTGGAACAAGATCCGGATTTTCAACACCAACGTCAAGTCAGTGCTCCTGTATGGTTCAGAGACTTGGCGCGTCACGAAAGGTATTTCCAATAAACTACAGACATTCATCAACAACTGCTTACGCTCGCTGCTGAAGATCAGATGGCCAGAAAGAATAAGCAACAAGGAACTCTGGGAACGAACCAACCAAGAACCTATCACGCAACAAATATGCAGGAAGAAGTGGAGATGGATTGGCCATGCACTGAGAAGGCCGACTGAGGACATCAC